GAGACTACAATGTTAAGTGAAATAAATAGACACACAAGGTAAAGTATCACATGGTTTCTCTTGTATGAGAAACCCAAGAAGAAAAATAAGAGCTCTATAATAGGCAAAAGGGAGGTGGGCTTTTGCAGAAGGGAAGACGACCAAGAGATTGGGGGAGGAAGAGAAAGGGGATGAAAAGCAGAATGGAGATGTGTTTTGTACATACACCAACTCCCCACAAGGAATGGAGTCATGTACTGCAAACGCAGACTAAGAAGAAAGCAAAAGTGAGAAAAATTGCAATAAAAATGAAAGATAGTAAGAGAATGCAGTTCTTATAGCTTGCAAACACAGGCTGAAAATGTGTTTACCACTTTCTGTAATTTCCTGTAAAGCTCACTGTATGTGCCAGTGGATGTAAACAACCTAAGAGTTCTGCCTGTTCACAATCAAATGACTACCCTCATTTAACCTTACCTAGTTAAGGGTTTATACAACAGTTGGGAGCTTAAAATTGCAGTGTTCTCTTGCAAACAAAAACCTAGTATATTGAAAGAGAATTTATATTACAAAATGTTAAGGGATAACTAGATTACAAAGTAGAACTCCAAAGGCATTTTGAAATATATTTTTAAATATCAAACTTCTTCAAAACATTTAATTATTATATTAGCAAAACAACTTCAAGTTTACCTCAGTGTTTAAAGTGTTTAAACTCAGTGTTTAAAAGTGTTTATACTTAAGTAGAAATCTGAAATCACTATAAGATATAGCTGAAATTATTGTTTGAGGGTGAATTAAAATAATCATTTGCAAAATAATAATTTGGCAATATCTTTTCCCTCAGGAATGTCAGTTTTACATAAATTCTCTCTGGAAAAACAAAACAAAGTAAAGACATATGAAATGCATTTTCATTTTGAGAATGAAAATATAGAGAGGCCAGGACCAATTCAGAAAGGAAATGCAGTACCTGGAATTTTGCTTGGTATCAGAATGCATTGGGGTTAGGATAATAAACAGCCTCGGGCCTCTTTTGGGGCAGCAAAACAAACCAAAAGTGTCTTCCAGGTTGTAAATTCAGTAGTGATGTGGTAGAGAGGAACACGGAGGAAGAAAACTGGGGTAAATGTTTTTTTAATGTTTGCCTTTGGGCAGGATGTTTTTCTTATTAGTTTACTGTTCCTAGTAAATGTGAAATGCTTCATCTCTTTGCTTTATGAACTACTATTATTTTGGTCTAGGCTCCTACTGTGAAAAACAAAACAAAAAAACAAAACAATATGGCCTGGCAGCATGTCAGAGAAAATGACACCCCACTGGTGATGGGTGTAAGAGACCTGCGGGTGTTGGGAGCCAGCAGAAGGAGGTGACACGGCCGTGCCTCCTGATCCTACCTCTGGGCGCATGTTAAACCCCATAGATGAGGCTGTAACACACGCTTCTCAACACTGTTCCGGGCTGCACATAGAAGCAAAGCTTGAGCTCCTTGAAGGCATCACTTCAAGAGCTTGCTTACTGTTGGGGAGGATGTGATGGTGATGGGAGGAAGCAGCGTGACCGAGATTTGCCCACACGCCACAAGAAGAGGAGTTCTAGGAGCAAAGAAGAAGATGGGCTCTGAGAATCCAGAGAGAAGAGCAGCCTGGGCAGTTGGAGTCTACATGCCTCTTAGGTAACGATACAGCAAACTAACAGCAATTTCATGATACAGTCACAGCAAAGAATCAACTGACAGGTAGGGTCAATGCTAGATCTCTGCTTGGACAAGAAGAGATACACAGTGATTGTTTATGGCAGGAATCTTTATTTCCCATTTCATTGTCCTGCCGGTTTCTATGGAGGCTCATCCCTGTTGGTTCATAGTTTTAAACTTTGAATTTCCTCCTCTGCAAGCAAGTGTTGCCACATGACTACTCAGGAATATGTGCTGCTGGAAAAGTGAAGAAACTTCTTGAGTGTTCACCTCAGAAGTACTCAATTTGTGTTGAAAGGAAAATGAATAACAGAGCATCGGTGGCGGGCTGGCTGGGAAGTGCTCGAGTTGACTGGGCAAGTTTGGGCATATCTCCACCTGATGCTTCGTTGGGAAGGCTTCGTGGGTGGAGGGGTTCTTCTGTTCCCTAGGAAATGGGCACTTTGAAGAATGCCCTTTCAGGAAGGAGGAAGCTTAATACATTAATGTATAAGTGAATTCATCCTCCTGCCATTCCCTTCCTAATTGATAGCCTTCTGTGGCTGGTTTATAGGAGTCTTTAAAAAATGTGATTAGCTTTACTTGCAAGAAACTTGCTGGAGTTCTGCAGTAATGATGTGTCAGCTCTAAACTCATTCAGCTAATCTGAAGGAAAATTTGTAGATCAAGAAAGAGCCAAATTCAGAGGTGCTGACTTGTGAAACATGGTCTTAAATTCTAGTTTCCCAGTTATGCAAAGGATAAGTAACCATGGGCAAGAAGAAAAAGACTAAACATCAACATCAAGAATGACAAAAAACACATACTGCATGCCCAAGATTCTACTTTTCATCAAAATTAGAAAAGCAGCCAGTATGGTTTCTAAGAGGTAAGAGGGAAAATGCTTGGAAGCTTAAGACTCAGGGCTGAAGGGTGCAGGGCAGAGGCAGCTGTGTTTGATCAGGACCCACAGAGGCTCATCACATTGTGGGGAAGAGCAGCCGGGGCTGGACCGGAAGCTCCATGCTACTTAGATGGAGAGGCAGGCCTGTGAACAGGGCCTCAGTGAAATCATTCCATTAACTTACTCCCTTATTCCTATGCACACACAGAGCTGCTGTTAAATGCAAGGCCCCATAGGGAGCACAGAGTTACAGCAGGTGCTCGGTTACCCTCCTCACTAAGCATGTATTGCAGTGTTCTAATTATTAGGAGTGCAAAACAAATGATTTCAAACCTTTGTGGTGTGAGACAGTTATTTACAATGCTCACTGATGGTGTGAGTAGGGAATTAACTTAGTCCAGCAACGGAGCTCTGTCCATATGCCCGTGCGTCTGGGTCCTCCGCTAGAAGAGTCAAAGGCTGGTTGCTGGGATCATGTGCAGCAATTGGCCAAACTTCTATACCAGGTCTCTTCTTGTGGCCTGGGCTGCCACACAGTGTGGTGCCTGGGTCTCAAGGGTGAGTGCTAGAGTGTGCACCAGGCAGAAGCTGCACCCTTTTTATGACCTAACCTCAGAAGTCACATGGCATCAATTCCCTGGGTTCCATTGGCCAAGGTGGCACACACCTTACCCAAGTGCAAGAGGTGGAAACATCAACCTCAAATATCAGTGTTAGCCACACTGAATGAGAAGTAGACATAGATGTATGTGTATATATGTATGAATATACAAATATGCTCACATATATACTATGCGTATATGTATGTGACATATACATGTATTTATATACTTGTCTACATAATATAATACTATATAGGTATAAATAAAGTTATATATACTTTACATTTTTACATAAAATATAGACTTTTATATATACTGTACATGTATATAATAGCATACACACATGTATACACATATGTACATACATACATTTATAAAGTCATGTTTGGAAAGTAGAATCTGCCACATTTAATAAGAATGGAAGAGAAATGATCACAATGCAAACTAGAAAGAAATAAGTGTTGTTTTTGATTATTGTATAAATGATGGCCTTTGGAAATATATTAATACAATACATACCTGAGCACCATGCTTTACAAACTTGAATCATTTGCATCCTTCTCCCACTATTTTTACAGTATTATTATGCCACCTTCTGTAACATTGTTTCCTTAATCATTCTTCTTTAAATAGGGCCACTGAGTTTTTAGTCAAAATTTACTACAGAAAACTATTTTATTCCGTAATTTATTTGCCATAAAATAAAGGTAAGTTTCAGTATAATGTAAGTGAACAGAACAACTAGATGTTAGATTTGCTGCTTTCTGTAGAAGGTTCTGTAATGAAAGCAATGCTTGTCTTTGTCAAAAACAAAACAAAACCCTAGCAAGTGTATGAAAGATGCTAAATCACACTCCTAGCAGCTTCCAGTTGGCCTTGACTTGCAGGACTGAAAGGAAATGGTGTCTGAGGCCGTGCTGCCTAAGCCTGGCCTTTACCCCACCCAGGACCCTTTACAGAGCTATCAATCTCATAGCCCTCATTTTTTGGCAAACATCTGCCCAGCATGTTACAGATCATTCGTGTTGAAGCTCTCATCTAGCCTTAGCCATTGGGATCCAGGGAGAAGACCAGCATGGAGCACGGAGCCCGTGCTTATTAGTAAAGCTAGTTGCAGTCACCACTTGTCAGAGGCCAGGCCTTTGATGCCTCCATATGCGTTTTCATTTTTTGCTTTTTGGGTTTTCCTCCATTGTAATACCTCCTGAATGATCCGGTGAGTCGTAAAAGGCCTTACCTGGCCACTGCTATTATCTTCTACCATGCCCCCAGGCTGCTGGAGTGACTTTCTGTTGCCCACTGGGGCTAACTCCCATCCCAGGCTTTACAGTCCCACCCTCAGTCCAGAGCCCCAGGAACACTTGCACTTTGTCGTGTGCAAGTTTCTAAGCCTGTAACATTCAGTCTGAAAAACTAATTTGCACCTGCTGGGGCAAGCATTGCTCAAGGCCTGAGGGATGTCAGGAGAAGAGCTGAGCGCCTTCGTAAAGCATGAGAAAGGCGCATGGGGGTTGCTATCTTGCCCCTAAAATTTACCTTCATGCTTAGCAAGCCTGTTATTTGTTGTTAGAGTGTTTAGTAGAAAACACTACTTCCTGCTTTTCCCCCCAGTAGAGGTGATAACGTAGGAATAGGAATAATATTCATGGCCTTTTCCTCCTAGCCCTTATTTTTGTGGTTTTGGCAATATAGAGAAGTTTGTGGAGGTCAGGAGGAGGACAAGAGCCAGATGTTTCTCTCCAGGAAGCAGGCAGCAGACTTTCCCACACCGCAGGGTGTGCGCAGCAGCCTCTCCAGCTACCGGGTTGGCACTAACAGACTTCTTCTTCTTTGTTTACAGTCAGCCACAGTGAAGCTGTCAAAACCAGTGGCTCTGTGGACGCAGCAGGATGTCTGCAAGTGGCTGAAGAAACATTGTCCAAATCAGTATCAGATCTACAGCGAGTCGTTCAGACAGCACGACATAACTGGTAAAGTATGCAGCGACTGAGACTTCTTTCTCTCCTTTCCCTCCTCATACCCTTCCGATGAAATGGCATCTTCCTGATGAAATTCTCTGACATGAGTTTATTCTAAAAAGGACAATAAACTCTGAAGCACTTGAGCCATGATACTTAACAAACACAAGTGGTTATGAGAGAAAACTGTGGGCTTTGAGTGTCTAATATAAACGTATGCTCAGAGTGAGGGGTTGGAGGGTCCTAGAGAAAATGAGCATTCTAGTCCTAAAAAAAAGGAAGTCTGGTGGGGATCTTCTAAGTGGGCACGGTGTTTACTTAGGAAAATTTTTGTTGTTATTGTTCATTAGGCTACAGTGTATTGACTTTTCTGGATGGAAAGCTATTCGTGTGTCCAGTAACATAGAAGAGTCAGTTTCCCTCCATTCCTGTCCTGTGGTGATCCAGTCCCTTGACCACCTCTCACATCCACACTCAGGGATGTTCTGAGTTCCTAAGAACAATATAACAACTCACTGCCCTGAAGATGAATCCCTTTACGGCACCAGCTAAGACTTCATTAGCTCCAGAGTATTTCACTATTACATGTAGAGGTCAAGAAGCCCTTGGAAGCAGAAAATGGGACAGTATATGAACTGAAATGACCTCAGGATCTGGTCCCTTAGTTGAGGGCTCGGTGAGTAAGCAGCAAATACCCACCCACCCACAGTGGTAGCAGATCAGAGGAAGAGGGTCTCTTCCAGATCTTGCCTGTCTTCCATGCTGCGGTCCTGCCTGCAGGTGGGCGGTCCTCCTTCCTTCAAACACTGCAGTGGACGGGAGGGCCAAGGAGTGCTGTTCTGTGGCCTTGGGGCAAGGAAGGATATTGAGAATCTGGAGTTTAGTCCATTTCCTCCCTTTGCTTTGGGAAAACTGATGCTGCAGCGGAAGAATGACTCTCCCTGGAATCACTGAGCATGCTAGGTGCCGTGCTTTCTTCCAAATCCATCTTCTGTTTTGAGAAATCCTGACCTCTCTTTCCAGTTTCTCCTATTGCTCTGGAAAGGGATGCATGAAGCAAAGTATCTACACAGCATTTCTTTCTGCAGTTCACTCCTGACTATGGCCGTGAGATCAGAGCTGATCCCTTTACCCCCCAGAGCAAGGAGTGCTTGGTGGTTTTCAGAGCATTTCCTGGTGCCCTTGGCTGCCAAGAGGACAATGGTAATGCTATGGTTTGAGATGTGCTTGCCACCCAAACCAGTTCCCTTTTTGTCTGTTTCCCATATTCCATTCATCCAGAAAACAGATTTGGAAAGAAGGTTGTAGCAGTGAATACTCAAAAAATGCTGAGCTAAGTTAGACTCTTGCTGACCAAGTTGGTAATCTCTAAATACAGGAAGAACAAGCTGTTAACAGGAGAGTGAAACTCTCCTAACTTAAATATGAAAATCATCTTTTATGGCACTTTTTCTCTCCCCACAACTAAAGCTATTGACTCTTTTGGATGAAATTTCAGAAACCATGAAGGTAGTGAGGGCACTTGGCTTAGATTATAAGTGTCTAGATTTGATTTTTTAGTTCTTCTATCAGGATATAAGAAAACCCCATAGAGGGTCAGTTTTTGCACCCAGAAAGTGATCAGTCCATTAGTAATTATTTGCCTGATTATGGGCCCCCTCATCAAGCAGTAGCTGCTTAATATTTAGACTGTGTGATAGTAATGACAAAGTCTTCTCACGATCTTATTTGAAAGCAGTGCTGTCCTTTATTGGGGCTGAGAATTATGAGGTGCCCTGGAGGGAATGGAAAGCTTAGTAATGGCTTGTGGAAGATGAGCAGTGTACCCCTAAGAAGGCTTCAGTGTCTATGGAGGTGAGGGTACCACTTGCCAAGGTTCTCTGCTAAGTGATAGAGCGAGTGTGGGAAGAGGCATGTGTTGCAACAATTGTCATATTGCTGTTTATGGCACGGTTGGTCTCCATGGAACACATCCGGTATTGCTAACTTGCAACTTTCTTGGGATCTTGGGCAAACTGCTTACCATGGGTGAGTTATTCTACCTCGGACGCTCCTCTCCAAAATAAGGATGATAATAGAGCCTGTCTCCGAAGATTGTCATGAAGATAAATCACACAGGACACCTCAACTTGCAGCATGGTGCTGTTGTTATGTCAGATCTCATCTGGAGGTGTGGAAAGACATACTCTTGCTTCACTCTAAGGGCAGCTATTCTCTGTCGAGCAAAGAAGGAAGGGAATTTGGTCTGCATCTTCTTGATTTCCTGTTGGAGGCCTCAGAAGACCTCCCTCTCCTGTTCTCTGGCCCGTGCCTTTGTCCGGATGAAGATAAAGTACCCAAATGATCCCAAGTGCCAGTGACCAGAAAAGCTCCCAGAACTGGAGCCAGTGCACAGTTACCAGCCCACAGTGCTGGACGCTCTGGGAATCCCAGTACCTTTGGGGCTAGGATGATAACCAGGGTGAAGACATCTGCAGAAAATCAGAAAGTGATGCAGGGTAAACCTCAGTAGGCTGTGCAGACACCAGAGTGACTTAGCAAGGTCCGGGCAATGCCCAGAGCTGCAAAAACATGGCTGGCGATTTGAGGACGGTTGCTCGTGCACTTTAACTTCCTCCAGCAGTGAAAAGGAGATGATTATACTACTTAGCTGGTAGGGTTGCTTCAAAAGGAGCCGAGTTACTGTAAGTATACAATGAAGGTGAACTGGTGCTGTTTTCCTAGGTGTTATCCTGATTGCTGTGAAAAGAAAACAGAACATATAAACAGTGTTGAATTCATCTAGCTCTGTTTTCCTGAAAGTGAGAAGGGAGACCTAAAGGGGAAACGAAACAGTCCAGGCTGGTAAATACCCTGTGCCAATCTGCAAGGCTGCAGATAAGGTTGTTTGTGTACAGCATGGGTTTATGGTTTGATTCTCCTGAGTGCTGCTGTTCATTTGTTTTTCTTAAAGAAAGGGTCTCAATATTGTGCTCATTAAGGAAGCATGTTAATCAGCATCCCTTGAGTTAAAGACAGATGTTCCAGTGATGACAAATAAAAAGGACGTAATATTAAATGAAAAGAAGAAGAAAAAGTGGGATGGGTTTTCTGATCATAGGTCTAAGTCAGATCTTCCCTGCTGTTCTTTACCCCGACCTTGAAGACAGAGTGGCTATTTAATGTCATGCAAGTTCGCTTCTTGTCAGTAGAATACCATTTATCATTAAGGGTTGTTAGATGATTGAAAGGGCTGATACATTTAATGATTAATTCTGCAAATATTTATGGAGCATCAACTATGTACTAGATTTTGATATTAAGTAAATAAGATACTCAGTGACCTATGTGCGGAAAAAAATTGTGCTTTGTTGGAAAACTCTGCATGATCATCTATATCACACCATTTTGTGTCATCTAATTCTGAGTCCAGGAAGCAATTTAATAACTTGTGTAAGTTGCAGATAACTGATGGCAACACAGTAGCCTCTCTCTCTCTCTCTCTCTCTCTCTCTTTCTCTGTGGTTTTAGTCCACTGTGGCCTGAAAATATTAAATGGAAAATTCCATATTTTGAGAGCGAGAGAGCGAGAGAGAGAGAGAGAGAGAGAGAGATCATATTCACATGACTTTTACTACAGTCTATGATTAAGGTTGTTTGATTTTATGAGTTATTGTTGTTAATCTCTTACTGTGTCTAATTTATACAGGAAACTTTATCATCAGTATGTATAGGAAAAACATGGTATGAAGAGGACACCATAGTGGCTGTGGTTTCAAGCACCTCCTATCTAGGAGGGTTTCCCCTGCAGAAAATGGGGTTCTGTCATATAACCAAATTCTTGTCTATTGCTATTGAAAAGCCGAATCTTCCCTTTCATTCATAGTTTGAGTTTAGCCTTCCTGACTTTTAATTGCATCTGCAGCTTGGATTCTCTTTGGAGCTAGTTTCCCCATTCATGAGTTAAATTAAAATCTGAAGTGCATGTTCATTTTTGTGTTTGCAAGATTTTAAGCTCTCTTAAAATCATCCTTTAATCCTCGTAGTTAGAAATTTTTCTTGTATTTGTTTGCACAAACAATTCCACTCTACTAACATTTTCTCTTATGCCTTTTGTTTGAAGGACTTTAAATTCTAAACAAATATCCCCTCTGTTGCTCGAAGCCTAAGAAAATTTTAGATACTTTTAACCTACCAGTGTTCTAAACCTTTTCTAAATTTCCTATTAAAATTTTTGATAATTGCATTGTGTTCATAAGGCACCTGCTATTTTGTGGCAAAAGTGTTTAATCAGAAGAGAAATTACTTGTGTTAGCTCCCTGCAGAAATTTTCTTTAAAAAGAGTAAGATGGCCAGAACACCGAGAGGCATTAGGATATGTAGATTTAAATCACCAGATTAGGCTTGAAGGAAAGAAATTTGTCTATTTTCCTGTGCTTGAAGGGGTCTTCCCCTAGCTTTCTGAGTCCTGCCATGCATGCTGATGAGGAGGCTCTACTGGGACCAGGAGTAAGCTCACAGGCAACTTCCAGATTCTCTTCTATGCACAGTTAAGAATCTTTGCAGGCTGGAGGAGATTTCAGCCCCTGGCTGTGCCTGGTATTCTGCCTGTGGTGGTTGCTAAATCACCTCAACTCCTCTGGCTTCAAATCCTCTTCTGTGAAGGTCTTTTTCCCTGCCAGCTTTAAAGACTTATTTTCATGGGTGTGGCCTTCACAGCTCCCCAGAATATAAAATAGATTTTAAAAGCCACTTGGAATGTATAAAGGGTGTCCTTTCACTGTCTGCAGGAATAAATAGTTACCATTTAAGCATCCCCTACAAAAGGTCTGTATCGATCTGTTATATTTCTAAATGGTCTACAGAATAGATGAACGCCTCTTGTCCCTTTTTTCTGTTTCAGCCATTACCTGTTTGCACCTCTTTCCGCTTCTAAAAGTATTCCACTGAGACATAGCACCCTGAAATTTGGCACTTCTGCTTAGGCTGTTGAATAAAAGGAAACCACTTTGTCATTTTCAAGCCTTCAGAAT